ATTTCAATTGTTTAGAAAATTGTATGTTACCTACGTTTTGTAACTAGACGGATTGTTTTTTTATTATTAAATTATATATGTCATATCAAAATGATTTATAAATACCTACCAGGGATAAAGATGCTGACGTATTTTTTATTTATGTTTTACATTGAGACTTATGAAAACAAGTCCTATTCTGAAAAAATACAACTTAAATTTCCACTCTAAAATTAATTAAAATTGGTTCCGAAACGCAAAGTAATATTCTGAGAGTAACTTAATAGTTTTATAAAACTTTAAAATAAATATGAGAAGGAGTTAATAGGGGGTGCGGTCAAATAAATACTAAATTAAAATATAGTAATTATTTTAATTTTTGCCGACGTTTCGACCCACTTTGCAGGTCGTCTTCAGGGCGTAGGATGTAGCACTGCGGGAGGCAGTTGAAACACTGGCCAGTGTTTATATATTAATATATTTTAATTTAGTATTTATTTGACCGCACCCCCCGATTAACTCCTTCTCATATTATATCAATGGTCAACCATCTCTCAGTGTTTAAAATAAATAAGTTAGTAGTTTAAACTTAAATGAGTATAAGGAGCTTATATGGGATCTTTTATTTCACTTGAACATTGTCCTAATCGACGGCAATTTTCTTTATTAATTGATCTCAGAAAATTAAATACCATCAGCTTGAAACCTTTAATTTATTCTTCTTTGTTTCTCGAATCTTTTATACTGGAAGACAATGTATCTTGGATCTTCCAGGCATTGGCATGTTGGACGGTAACCGCTCTTGGCTTTGATCTATTTCGTATCAAAATATTGTTGTCATGATTTATTCCAAGCCTTGACAGCTTTACTAAACTAAGGCGATCGAAATGAAAATTATCACAAACCATAAAGTTAAGCATATCTACTGTTGTACTGCTTCGTGGTACATTAGGATTCTTCTAGGGATCAAATACATTTAAAGAAATCTGATTACTTATTTTTGACACGTCGGTATAGTCTTCTTGGTATTTAAGGTATTGTTCTGTAATTGTATTAAGTGGTAGTTGTTCCAAGCAGATCAATGGATAAAAAAGTTTCTTCCCTACTTTACCAGCTAGATTATAGCTGCTATAGATATCAGTTAAAGATTTGAGAATGGGAATCATATATTTCATGGGAGCTTCAGTGTTGTGCATCGTTTTGAGAAGAGGCTGAGGTACATTAGTATTGGCGAATAGTTGGGAATAGAACACATTGTCACTTCTAATTACTTTTCCTACTGGATGTTTATCGTTGGAATAGACTTTGATAATGTGTTTTTTAGTTCACCTTGCCCTAATGTGGATTGGCAACTCTTTGGTTGAGGCCTGAATTGCGCTTACGGTAGACGTTTTAAAAGCACCCACTAATAACTTCATAGTTTTGTGTTATACAGCTTATTAATAATGGAGAGGATTTCTTCAGATAATGTACGGCACAGGAGTAATATAAATTTGAACAAACTATTGTTTTGTAAAGAATAAGCGTGACCTGTGGGTGAGGCAAACCTATGTAACAAAAACTCTACGAGCATAAACTGTATTAGGAAATATCACCTTTGACTAGACTAGGAACTCCATTTAAACGTCTATAGAGCCATTGGCAGAGTCGTCTATTGTGAACGAATTGTCTTTAAAGCTATCTGAAAGGATTGCATGAATGCTTCACTACTGTCATTGTACTAGCAAAAATGTGAAAGTATTCCAATCGAGTTTGTATACCGCTTTCTGGTTAAGAGGACTACACATTGAGGAAACAAGAAGTCGTTTAACATGGGACATATTTAATATCGTTCGAATTAGTTATCCTTTTAGATGAAAATCATCAAAATAAATCTCGAGATACTTGAAATTAATCAAATGATAAACAACTCTTAGTATTGTTAATGTTGGGTGTTTTTTAATTTCGATGGCCTCACACATCAGGACGAGGATTCCCAAAGCACTCAGTTCGTAGCCGTGCTAATGTTTCTTTCGTGGTTGGCCAGATAATCTCTATACTCCCAATCTGGTTAGGATGGGAAGATATTCTTCAAGTAATTTATGCTTTTAAAGGATATAACCCAGTTTCATCTATTAACAAAAAATGTAAATTTTTTTCTTTCGCAAAAGTATATGCATAAAGTGAACTTCACATTAAATTGCAAATATTTAACAATCCTAATGCACCAGGTGGCAGAATTCAAAGTGAGACAATTTTTGAGAAAACGTTTTTTAGCTTAAGTGAAAAATATAGAGATAATATATATATATCATAAGCTAATATTGACGAAATTCGCTCAGCATCATGCCATGATAAAATTTAATGCGTTAAAAACAAGAACACCTATTCTTTAGAATATCTCATTAAGATATGAAACTTTCTAAACTGGAAAAGAATTGGCCCGTCCTTGACAGGCGTTGGAACTCGGTATAATTGCCGAAATCATTTCCTTATAACCTCAATGATACAGCACGTTAATTTTCATTCCTGAAATATCGACAAATTTAGAAGTTTCATTTTTAATCATACACTATTGTATAAATAATTAAAAACCAAAAAATAAAATAAATAATAATTATAAGGATGGCAGATCTTTAATCTTTTTGTGTCTATTTAAACTGGTAATTTTGAATTTGTTTGTAAAGGTATAATATTCCTAATAATTATAAAATTGAAAAATTTCCTGACTCATTTGTGGTTAGATTAAACCAGACCATGATATTCCTTAATATTGACTTTTTCATGCTGAATAAAACTAAACCATTTGCATATATAGGTAGAATAAAGTTAAAGTAAAATAAATTAGATAGAATAAACTTAAAGTAAAATAAAGTAGGTAGAATAAACTTAAAGGAAATATAAAATAACGATAACAAAGTTAAGAGTAAAAAGTAAAGTTAGGATATATAACATAACGGTATACGAAGTTAAGAAATTATGAATAAAATAATTACAGTAACAGAGAACTATTAAATAAATGGTAACGGCAACAAAGTAGGGACTAATGAAATAAACATAAGAAATGAAAAATGGATTAATAAAGAAATGTATTGGAATTTATTTTATGTCTATACTCATCTCATACATTCCGGTATTAATTCACTTTTCATTTCTTATGTTACTTTATTTCATTATGTTTATTTCATTATTCCTTACCATGTTGCCGTTATCATTTATACCATAGTTATTATTTTATTCATAATTTCCTAACTCTGTTATCGTTATTTTATATTTTCTTTAAATTTATTCTACCTACTTTCTTTTACTCTTTAAGTTTATTCTACCTACATTATTTTACTTAAGGTTTGTTATACCAACATTTTTATTAATAGTTTTTCATGCCTATTGCTATCTAGTCTTTTCTTAACCCTGATGAAGGTCTGAACTTTGGTCAAAACGTCCCAAAAATTTTGCCCGAAACGTCGGCAAAAATAAAAATAAATATACTTATTTATTTTTACATTTTTTTTTTTACTGACCACACCAACCACTCTTCCTTTTAATTAAAAAATACAATTAAAAATCATTTATCAAGTGATCGTAACTTAATAACGAAAATTAATTATTAAATTAAATTTCTGATAATAATTGGACAGGGACAGCCAGAGTCTCAGGGTCTGGGCTCCGAAGAGGGCATGACCAGGCCTAAAATATTTTATTTTTTTAAGCACTAGATTTTCACTAGAATAAAGTATATATGTAGCATTGCATATTTTATTTAATACTAATGTAATATCTTTACTTGATAAGTTGGGTTTTAGTGTTAAATGTATATTACCTTATTAACATTTGAAGAGAGTATGGGGAAATTCTCTTAAGGTCCGATGGTTTCTCTCTGCAGCCCGGAAAAAAATATTTGTGCAGCTGATGGAGAAACAAATAATACATAATATATTTATCAAATGTTGTTGACATGCACGACTAATAAATTCGACTTACGAATACATTACTTGGATCTATCGGGCCAAGTGAAGCATTGATAGATTTCAGAAATGCATTCAAAGTTGTTTATATAATTTTTAAAAGGGTAACTATTAAAAAGAATTTCTTGCGAAAAAAAGATATTCTATTCTTTTTATTTATTTTATTTTATTTCAGGACATAGGTTTAAACAGTTTTTTTTTTCTTCAATATTTTCCTTTTTAAATATTAGAAACATTTTAATTTATTGTTTTTGTTTTGTTTTCAGGTAAAGTTAAATGAGGTCAGTTAATCTTTTGATTCTTCTATGTTTCCAAACTGTCCTTACCGAGAGGTCAATCATTAATGAGATACGGAAGCTGTGCCAGTATTATGGGATATCTTACAAAGAAAACAATTTCATGACAAGATCATCTAACCATGCTGAGTACGACTTTATCGTTGTAGGTTCTGGACCTGCAGGTTCCGTAATAGCCAACAGGCTCTCCGAAATTCCGCACTGGAATGTTCTGTTATTGGAAAAGGGTCCAGAAGGAAACATCTTCAGTGACATCCCTCTCCTTGCTATCAGGACGAGGAATAGTTCCATATCAAGAGTTTACGAAGCAGAAAGAGAACCTGGTGTTTGCTTAGGGTTGGTTGGCAAAAGGTGCTACTGGCCGGCGGGTAATGGTTTAGGAGGTGCGACGCTGATCAACGCAGTTATGCACACAAGGGGATTTCCCGAGGACTACGACGGCTGGGCCTACGAAGGGAACTATGGATGGTCCTACAGAGAGGTCCTTCCTTACTTCTTGAAGAGCGAAAACATTTCTATACGACGCCTGTTGGATTCAGAATTCCATTCTACAGAAGGGCCCCTCCCGGTCACATATCCTTACACAACAAGATTAGCAAAGATGTTCCTCCGGGCTGGCCAGGAATTGGGATATGATATAATAGACTACAGCAATCCATACACAGTGACAGGTTTCGGTCATGCCTATGCTAATCACAGAAAAGGGAGAAAATATAGTGCTGCTCAAGCATTTTTAATCCCTTACTTGTCCCGACCTAATCTTCATGTCATAAAGGAAGCACTTGTCACTAAAGTTCTCATTACACCCGAAACAAAAAGAGCATATGGTGTCAAGTATTTGAAAAATGGAGTGGAGAAAACTGTCCTAGCGACGAATGAGGTTATTCTCTCAGCCGGTGCCTTCGGCTCTGCTCAGTTGCTAATGTTATCTGGTATTGGACCGGTAGATGATTTAGAGACATTAAAAATTCCAGTCATTGAGGACCTTCCAGTTGGTAAAAATTTACAAGACCAACCCAGCACACCTGCTTTAATATTCCTCATCAACACCACCGATAGTATAACTCTTCCCAAGATGTTATTGACCAGTCCGATAGATTTCATTCAGTGGTACAAATTCGGGAACAACATATACGCCGATAACGGAGCGGAAGCAGTAGCTTTTGTGAAGAGTTCATACGCAGGTTCATCTCCTGACATCGAGTTAATACTCGCTCCAGGCTCCTTGGTGTCAGATGGCGGTACGTTTATCAGAAGGAATTTGTACATTACAGATGAGGTGTATCATAAAACTTGGGGGAATGTAAAATTCCGAGAGGCTTTCGCTATAGGGCCTTTGTACATGTATCCCAAAAGCAGAGGTGAAGTAAAACTTATGAGTCGCGATCCAAGAGATCCATTACATATTAAAAATAATTTCTTCTCAGATCCAATTGATATGAAAATTTTGATAGAAGCAGTGAGGATAGCAATGAGAATTGGTGAGGCAGAATCCTTTCAAAGAGTTGGTGCAAAGCTTCATAAAGTTCCAGTACATGGGTGTGAAAGTTTAGAATTTAATTCTGATGAATACTGGGAGTGCGCCATACGAACTGTGACCATACATTTTCATCACCAATGTGGCACTTGCAAGATGGGTCCCGATCCTTACACATCAGTAGTAGACCCAAGGCTTAAAGTGTATGGAATCACAGGGTTGAGAGTAGCTGACGCTTCTATAATGCCAACAATTGTTGGACCCCATACAATGGCACCCTGCTACATGATTGGAGAAAAAGCAGCAGATATGATTAAAGAGGACTGGGGAATTTACCGAAATGCATGAGATCAGGAGAATCCTTATTAATTTAGAAATGTTGATTATAGTCAATAATAGAGTACAAAATGCTGATGATCTCATATCATTATGAATGGGTAAATAATCGGAAGCATAAAGATGATTTGATCTGATTCTTAAGAGACCCTTGATTATTAATCTTCTCACAGAAGAAGTTAAATGGTGAGTAATGGGCACTGTACAGAAGAAAACAAATTCCATAAGTAAGATTTATTTTATTTTATTTCATTTCTTTTTTTTTTTAGAAGCATTACCTTTTTGCTCTGCAATTATTATAGATGGCTGGATTTCAACTAATATAATTAACTTTAAATTTATCTAAGTTTTCATGTTCATCAAAATCACATTGATTCCACAAACAAGTTCTTGTATCAATGTGTGTATTTAATGTTGTAAGCGTCATAGGAAACATTCTAGCACTACATTTATTCATGTACAATAGTGTAGGACTTCACATAAATAATGCTTAGATATTTCCTGTTGGCTTAAGGGATCCAAGATTTCATATAGTTCAGTGTCACCGAACTGTTGATGAAACAAAGAAATTGTTGATGAAATCGTAGGTATGAAAAAGTAGGTAATGTCTGATAGACAGGATCAAAGTTACCTTAAAAAAAAAAAAAAATTGGATTTAATGATAACATATTTGAGTTTATGGCAGTTGACATGCCAAAACCATGAATTAAGAACTGTCTTATAGATTTTTTTCTTCATATTTTCATGGAACTCTGTATTAATCATATACATTTCGTTGATGTATATTTTGTATTATTATAAATATTGTAAAAAAAAAGAGAGTGATTAAAGGTATCATTTGTAAAATAAATTAATTAAATAAGTATTTTTACTACTATGAAAATCTCATATTCCTGGATCTTTGAAGGCACAACTAGTGCCTAAATATTGGTGTATAGGCACACCAATGCATACTGCTTGATTATTTTTTCATGCAGTTACTTAGTTTCAATTTTCACATTTTTGGATAAAGATTTTATACTATGAGAAAACAGTTAATTATAATATTTTTCTTTTATAATGAGCTGAGCCAAAGCTAAAAATAAATTAGCTATTTTATTGGTGAATCTTTAATAATAAATGTTGACAGCTACAACCTGTTTTGTAAAAAGTTATTAGCAAATTTAAAATTTTAGATCAAGCTAAGGAACAATTTGATCATTTTTCTTTTATAATTAGTATGAAAATATTTTTAAAAAACTATATTGGATTTGAATAATGTTTCAAAAGTTTAAACAACAGAGATATAGGTATCATCTTCAAAGAAAATTTAAGTAGAAGTCTCAAGGAAAGAAGTGAAATATTCTATCAAAGTAAGAACAAAATTTTGTTAATACTGTCAAAATGAGATAACTTTTACAAATAGTTTCATCGATAACAGTATCAATATCATTTGTGAACAATAGCTCATTAGCTATAGAAACTAATTGTCTTTCCAAAATAGGTCAATAACAAGTAATGATAAAACACAAAGGTAATAATCTTTTATAATCTTGCCTTTGTGAATAATTTAATTTGTTATTTTTAATACACAGAAAACAGACAAAACAGTTAAATTTTTGTGAAAACTTTGATTTTTGGAAAGGAAGAAGATTTAATAAGAGATTATAATGGTATCATGTTAAGTAAGAAATTAATTTCATTGAAAAATACTTACTTAATAAAGAAAAAGCACAAGTTTTATTATAATAAAAATAATATTAATTAACTTATATCAGAAAACAAATATCACAAACTAAAACAACCTTCGATTATACTTAACAAAGTTTATTCTCTAACTTCAGTCATTTACAAAAATAAATAAAACATTTTGATTCAGCCCTCCGATCAATCTTAGGCTACTAGGTCCAAGTAAGGAGAAACATAGAATAAGAGGCAATCTTCAATTTCATAAAATATTTTATCAAGAACATATTCATAATTCAGGAGCTAATGATTTAACTTAGTGGTTAAATCATATAACATCATGAATAGCCATTATTATTAGTTCTTGATAACAATTATTTTAAAATTGTATCAATTAATTTAAAAGCTAACCTAGTGCATTGCAATCAACCAATGCAATATTTGCTTAAACTTATGTCTATAATTTCACATTTTCCTGTAATTTTATTGTAATTTCATTTTTAATATAGAAAACTGCTTGGATTGTACCTATATCTTAAATATTTTGAACTAAATCTGAATAATTGAATTACAAATCATCCTCAAAACCATTATACATAATCTCAATAACTGATGATGAAGAACTCTTTAGAATAGTAGGTATGAGTACCCATTCTATTTGGGTGATATTAATTAACAAATATAATGTTTCTTTTTTTTTTTATTTGTTTAAACTTTCATCTAAGTTCAACTACTTACATCGTAAAAACATCATTTTTATTTATAGAGATATTTAGATTATTTTTTCACTTGATAAATGATTAAATATAGAGTGAAACATATGTTAAAACTATAGATTCTTTGTAAGCAATAATACAAAGATCTTTTGTAAGTAAAAATGTACAATTTTAGGAAATACAAAATTATTATAAAATCATAAAACAAAAAATGTATAGGTTATTTATCAAGATCCTTTTCATGATTTCCTTAGCCAACATAATCAGAATAAAGTAAACTATTAACAGTGTCCTTCATTTAGATAGCACCACTCAGGTAAGATCTGGTCAACTTGAACTCCTCTCCTAATCAGTCTATTTCGAGTTTCCATCAAGCGGTAAGAAGCTTCATCTGGGGATGTTTTGGGATTTGACCACAATCGCTCAGCTAGTGCTGCTGCACGGGGCCAAAGGCGAGTGTCCAGATTATTTGAATCCACTAATTCAGACCAAAGCGCCACTTCACCGCCTAAAACTGAATAATATTTCTTTATTAGGTAGGTCGGTGAAGTCTAATATATATATATATATATATATATATATATATATATATATATATATATATATATATATATATATATATATTCTTATTTATATTTTTATTTGGTTTTGAAATATTAATAATTAAAAATTAACAATCAAATTATCAAAGGATCATTTAACTTTTCCTTAAAAATTGATTCTTCAAAATTTGTATTTTAATTACACAGCTTGACATCCACCTTTAATTTATTTACATCTTTAACACATTAAGAAAAATAGATCAAGTTAATAATTATTTTCAATAAAATAAATTTATCAATAAATAATTTAAATATCAACAATTTGTACTATATGGGCATATTGTATTTTTTTTTTCTAAAAACATGTTAAAAAAATTCATTTTGATTATTTTGTGAGTAATTTAATGTTTCTTTGCACTGTGTGTCACGAAGGCCAGGATATGACTAAATTCAAGCGGAACTCCTGAAGGTCTGACAGTGATGAAGGTATGAGAAAAGTACTCCAAGAAATGTTATCTATAGAGGATGAAGACAAACCATTTATTTATTGACTTCAAGTTGGCCTATAACAGTATTGCACTAGCGGATTCAGAATTTAATTTTTGGGGGGAGACTTCAGCCCGAAAGCTTTTTGTTCATAAAAATAACGATAATTGCTTTGGAAAAAAAGAAAGAAAATAACTACCTACATGAAATGGTGTTTAAGTGATTTCTAAAGTCCTTTTAAATGTAATTACACGGACAATAATACTTTAAGAGATCATTTTTAAATATTTTTTTCAATAAAACATGGTTATATTTTACCATTTTTTGGGGGGAGGAGGGTTTCAGCCCCAAAGCCTCCTCCTCTCCCTCCCCTCCATAGATCCGCCTGTGCAGTATTAACAGACGAGAGTAGTATCAGGTCTAGTATGATCTCAATATTCCAATATTCCAACTAATATGGATCATCAAAATAATGATGATAGAGACAGAATGCATAATGCAGATTGGATCAGACATATCTGAAGAATTTGATTCCAATATAGGAGTTAGACAAGGAAATGAACTAGCCTGTCTGCTTTTTTAATCTTCCTAAAGAAAGAGCAGTGAGGGTATTTGGAATAAAAACGAAGGGTACAATTTTCAAAAGAACTGTTCAGATATTCAAATATGCCAGTGATTTTAACATTGTTGCCAGGTCTCAAATTGCACTGAAGGAAGCATTTCTTCAACTAAAAAGGGCAGTTAAGAAGTTTGGACTTTTTGGCAACAAAAAGAAAACTAAATAAATGTATAAATGGTGCATAAAAGTTTAAGAGGGTGCAATACTTTGTATACTTGGATTTGGAGATGAATTTGGATAGCAATATATTTCATGATATTAAACGTCAGATCGCAGGAGCAAAGAGGTGCTATTTTGGCCTTGGCAATCAATTTAAAAGCAGTTTTATTATATACCAATGAGACCAAAGTAAGGCTTTACAATGTCCTTGTTTGCCTGGTCCTTTTGTGCAGATTTGAAGCTTGGGCATGGAATAAGGCTGAAAGAGAAAGCTAATACCTGGAAAAGATTTAAAAAATTGGGAGATCTATGCACTTTTCATGAACGGACATGTTGCTAGAGTGATCAGTGAAAGGAGGCTTGGATAGGCAGGACACCTTGCCAAGATGGATGAGAATGAAATCCCAAAAAAATTAACAATGAACACTCTGTTAAGCTAGAAGAGTAATACGACCCAAAAATAAATGGCTGAATATTGTTCGCACAGGTGCCAGAAATATTCTTGGAGTAACGGACTAGATGGCTGCTGCGCAGAATAGGGATTGTTGGTGAAAACTTTTGGAGAGGGCTGTGATTCAGCGATGAATTGTAGCACTGCATACATACATAATTATGTATAGTGAGAAAATCTGGAGACATATACAATCACCTTTTTTTACATGAAAAAAAAACATCATAACCTGTGATAGGTATTTCTTCATTAGTAAGTTCATATAATCTAGCAATTTACCATTGGGAACATTCGGAATTTGATTTTCATAAACTGATTTCCAGGGATGATATTGGCCTCCATCAAACCCATGATCTAGGTACCAGGTGTCTACAGAAGCATAAATCACTTCATAGCCCATGTTTAATAATTCATGAGGAACTGGGTCATTTCTGCCAGTCCAAGCTTCGATGATGAACCTAATAAAAGGAAAAAAAAAAGATTGAATAAAGTTATATTTACTTTAATACTAAATTAAATACTTTATTTATAAATTAGTTTTAATTTTTAATTTGATAAAGTTAAATTATAAAACATGTTTTATTTCTGATCTTTTAATCATTATAACAGTGCAATTGCACTAATATAAAATAATTGCTAATAGTAGATATTGAAATCAACTAAAGCTTTGGGTCACAGAGAGTGTTTACTTTCTTGATAATATCAATGTATTTATTAAAATCTTTTATATATTTTTATTTTACTTTTATAATAATCTTTTAAAGCACGAAATCAGCTTGACTTTTGTAGGTCTTTCCTCACTGTTTCTTATTTTTGATGTAAAAGAAGGTTATTCTCAGAAAATGGCCATGGAAAGGGTGCCTACGCATCAACTAATAAAATTTCTAAAAATTTGTGTATATATAGACATGTTTTTATTTAGAAATTTTCATCAGAAATTTGCGCATTCAGAAATAATCATTAAATATTTATCATGATTGAATGCTGTCAGTGGTGTTCTAAACAGCCTTCATTGGTTCGCGGTCCCATCTTACTGGCTCCAACATAACTAACGTGGTCCAATATAAATATTTAAAATAATAAACATAAATATATATATCAACTTAGTTCTAAATGAAATTTAGAAACTTCAATCAATCTTGCCTTCCTACTATTATTTTATATGAAATTACTAATGCTAAATTCAAGCTTATATTTAGCATTACATTGTATACATACCTATATATAATTAATGATTAATGTTTTAAACTTATATGTTTGAAAAATATTTTCAACGAATTTTCTTATTTTTATGTTTTTAAAATGCATACCTATCCTTGTCCAAATGGGTAGCTATGCTGTAAGGATTTGTCAGGTCACTGGTCCATAGAATAATTTTAGTGTTAGAATGTCCAGTGGCATTATCCCAAGCTTTGAGTGCTCTATTGTGAAATTCTCCCCATAAAGTTTTATATCCAGAATCGGTTAATGGATATCCTTTACGAAGCATGTAATCTGTAACTTCTGATGACCTTGACCAGCAAGAATATGCTACCTAGGAGAATTTTTGATTTTATTAATTGATTTTATCCTGATGTTTACTCGATTTGATCCCCTTATTTACCTGAGTCTTTACAAAATGGACACATTAACAAAATGGAGAAGAATAACTTCATTGTGAACTAAGAAATTGCTAAAAGCCAATGGGGAAAAAATAATTTGTTTAAAATCTCAGAATTCAAAGAGAATTGCAATATAAAGAAAACTAAATTTCTGAGAATGATTACCCATCAAAATAAATAATAAATCAAAAGATCATGAAATAGAGAAAGGCTGATGAGAAGTAAGAAACAGAAAAATGCTAGACAAACAAAGAGAAAGCTACAAGTAATTCTATGATATTTAATCTATAATAATATGAAAGAAATGTAGATACCTCATCACCACCCATGTGGAACATATCATCTGTAGGTATAAGTTCTTGCAAATTCTTAAAGATTAGACCTAATACAGCGTAAACATTTGGGTTAGCAGGATTTAGTTGACCACAAGGAGGCTGCATGCAAGCTTCTTGCCAGGGATGGTGGTTTCTGCAAAGCACTAAATTTCCCATTGCTGCCTTATCACCAAATTGCCATCCATTACCTAGAAATATAGAGATAGAATGAGTGCTGTGACGAAATTTATCATTACAAAGTGGTTCACTTCCAAAAACTATTATATTTTTCTGCAAAATAATTTAATATTTTAAAAGTATTATTTTTTATAATAATGGTGAAGCTGATATGAAATGAAACCATCTGATACCCAAAAACTAAACATCAAAACTAAAAAAAAAAATGTTATTCTTTTTGTTACATCCATTATGCTGTACAGAGGAGGATCCTTTCATAAACAAATAAATAATTATAACAATAAATCCTTCCTTCTCTCGGTGATCCTCTGAGAGCACCTATGGCCTATCAGAGATAAAAAGAGAGATGGAAGGAGGCTAAACTAAATGTTCTTAAAGCCAACCAAAATGCTTGAGAAGATTTTCATTAAAGAGTGGATTAGAATCTGAATTTGAATCTGGAGATTTAATGAAAAAGTCACTATTAGAAATGAACAGCCTTGATTCCTTAAAGGAATCAAGAACAGTTAAAACTTACCTGGCGGAAGGCACTTTTAATGGAATGGTGGAGAATCCTTCAGACACACGTTGCTTGCGGGAGCACAGACAGCCTGGAGGAGGTCACCCAACCTCACGTTGCTACGAACCAAGGTATCCATGGTGCAGCGACAGACCACCCGTAGCTCTATAGCCGATCCCTTTGGGGCCAATTTGGCAGTGTCCTTCTCACCGACTCACTCGGCTTCAAGGACAAAGACAAATTGGTCTAGAACCACGGATTATGGCAGAAAGCACATGATTTTTCCTGAAACAGACCGACCGCGGACCGAACCTCAGGAGGGCTACTAACACTCTGGTAAACCAGATCCCAATTCCCGATTTAAATACGTGGGTTAGAGTTATCAGTCTTATGCTCGGTCAGTGTGAGATGCCTCCAGTAGGCTAATAGGTGGGAATAGGGACCTGGGGTGGGAAGAGGGAGAGACTCGGGCAACATGGCTTTCTCTGGTGGATGGTCACCCATCCAATTACTAACCACACTCGATGGCGTTCGAGAAGAGGGTGAGTGACATATAAATACTGACAGTACGAAAGCGCACCAAGAGTCGCCCCCAACAAACAATGGAAATTCATAAATGTTACATAAAATTAATGTATGGTTTTATATTGTATGATTGAGGATGTGTGTTATATATATATATATAAGTTGTTAGGTTACGTTTCCTTTGAAAAGTAAACAAAACAGTTTCTGAATCTAATTATATTTACTTTACACAATAATTATTTCTCAGGTTGGGTTCAGACAACAAACACACATCCTCAATCATACAATATAAAACCATACATTAATTTTATGTAACATTTATGAATTTCCATTGTTTGTTGGGGGCGACTCTTGGTGCGCTTTCGTACTGTCAGTATTTATATGTCACTCACCCTCTTCTGCAGTGAATCTTCTTCTGTATTGTGGTAACCAACTTCTCAACTTCTACAACCTTCTCTTGTTCTTTTATTTTCTTGTCTTCATCTAGATACTCACTACTTGTTAACTCACATTTTCCTCTCTCAATCCTCTTTACCTGCCGGCTGGTTACTTTCTTGCCTTAACACATGGCATTTGCTTCCCCTTCCATCTGTCTTTGTCTATTTTTGACAGTAGCTCGTGACATCACTACCTTTGCGCCATTATTTAGAATCACAATATATATATGTCAAGTTTTCAGGCTGAAGCTTCCCAAAATTTCCTGGATCCACTACTAATTTCAAGCTCAAACTATACTAAAAAACATTTTCAATATTGCTCTGTTGATTCATTATTCCAAAGTGGTAATTATTTACTTTAATAAAAATTTGTTGATACATATTTTTTACTTAAAATTTACTTACTGGCATGGGCTGGAGAATCAATTTCCATCAATATTCTAACTCCTCTCAGCTTAGCATATTTCACCAAAAGTGTTATGTCATTTTCAGTATATATCTCATTTTCTGAATATGCACCCAGCCTATTATTATCAAAAAATTATTAAGATTAATAAAAGTATTATTGAAATATATTTATACATCTTAATACGTGGTTAATTTGCATTTTAATTTAGCGATAAAATTTAAAACATTACTAGTGCTTTCTTTATTAATTGCTTATCATTAACTACATCACTCCTATTAAGTCATTAGGATTATATAAACGTTTGATTTTCTTTAGTAAAAACTGTTAGATATTTGTAACAATTTATTTCAACTGTGATAGACTCTCTCAATACCTTTTACTTTATAAAATCAAAGGTTATGAAAACCCATCTAATTAGCAAGACTAAAACTTTTGAAATGATACCTTTAGATGACCTAATCATTATCACTAATCATAATGGGCTCAGGAAAGTTAGTGCTCAATGGCTTCCAAGATAAGAATAAAAAAAAACAAGTGAGTTCAGAAATCAGTGATGGATTCTGTTTGGAACCTGACAAGAATGGGAGGATCTACATTTTGAGTTAATACCTTATCTTCATGATCTTCACTGTAATACATTATTACTTAAAATTAGTAAGCGTTTATTAATACATTATTTATGTTAAGGAAAAATATATAAATTAAAACTAAAAGCATTATTGTTCCTATAAATAGTGTTTATATTTAGTTATATTTTTGACAGGCCTTAAGGACCACTTAGACATTTTTTGATAGTTTCTTTCTATTTCTTCTAGAGTGATTAAGTTTATTAAACAAATAAAATACAAATAATTAAATAAAAATTAAACACCTTCTCCCACCCAAAATTAAAACATGGACTCGCTGCTGATTACCGCCGAACTATGATTAGCCGATGGGAATAAGAGGGATTGATTCTGGGTAATAAAAAAGATTGATTGGCGGTAATGAAAAAGATTGAGGAACGGTAATGAGAATTTGAGTTTAAAAGTAAAAGATTGCTTAAACTATAGAGTTTGACGGTTAGTTTGAAAAAATAAATCTTTCTAAGATCTATGAAAATAGGTGAAATTATAAAATAAAAAAAAATATTTCAAAGAATCGTTTATTGCTCGGTAATGAGAGTTATAAATTTATTTTCATTAAAATAATCTTACACATTAGAATCTGAACATAGATTGTTAGTAGGTGTCGACAACCTATTTTTCGCGATTGGACAGTGAAGCACGTATGAAGTTTTCAAACAAATTGCATGATATTTCCTCTTGAAGTTTTACAAATTGAAAATATTGATAGCAATTATTAATGCATATTATAAAGAGGAGTTAGAAGTACGTAATAATAATAAAAGAAACAATCTTTATTTTTGGAAACCCCCCTTGGTTCCTTTTTTTTAAAGGTTTATGTTTGATCAGTTTTTCACAGTTTGTGATAAGTAATAAAACATTAAAAATGTTTTAACCAACCTTGCCATAATGGGTATTTTGCTAAGAAGAAGCGGAAAACTGTGAGAATCTGTCGCATGCCAGTGTAGTACATTCAACTTGACGGCCGCCATAGCCCTTATGGTTTTCTTAAGATCCTTGACTGGGATGAAGTGTCGAGAAGTGTCGATGAGGACCCCTCTGTGTTTGAAGACAGGTTTGTCTACGATGTTTGCAGAAATGATGTAAACACTGCAAGAGCCGTTGTAGAAGACCTTGCTGGTCAATTGGGACAGAGTCTCTAACGCGTGCCTTGCACCAAAAGCAGTTTCGGCGTCGATGTTGACGTTTACCTTGCCTGAGGTTGAAATCGTTTGATTAAATCAACATTTGCAATAATTCTGTGCCTCATTAGACTTATTGATGTATTGATTGCAAAATCACCATGATTATTATGTAAATTATGAATAAATATTTTGGTATTTATTTTAGAAGTAAGTACTTGAATAAGATTTAGACAAGAAGGGAAGTGGAGCATTAGATCTGAAACTAAGAGGCATTGGTCAAAGTTACTTCAAATATTATACCAATCAATATTAAGACCATGCACGTTCAACGAGTTGCAAAAATGAAATAAACCAATTGCAAACCCGAAATCAATTAAACTTTAGAAAATGCAAGAACTAGTGAACATTGAAAATTATCTTAAGGTATTTAACCTGATGTTTCAATATATATTTTTATTTTAATTTGCTTATTATTATATTCCATTTGCAACTGTCCAGTAGCACATTAGCAAATTTGATGTACTTCATTAGTATCTGTTTTTGCTTAATAAGGGCTTTTATTTAGTAATTGATGGAGCAGCAAATCTCTGCCACATCTCAGCAAATCTGTGCTCAAGGGCCATTTTCTTTTTAATCTGAGTCGACCCGTAAACAGGGAGGAGGAAATTGATAGAACAAGTGGATGGAAAAACGATATGTAATTTATTTGTCATGGGTCTAAGATTTGACTGTTGAAATGATTAAGTAGTTATATATATGCAGTGTGATTTGAAATCGTATTATATATTTTTTCAGTTTTTCTTCGAATTTTTTAAGTGAAAACTTCCTTTTGCGCTTTTTGCAATTTTTTGTGGAGAGTGAATTATATTGATCCGCCAGATTTCCGAAGTGCTAACGCTCGGGTAAAGTCGGCTAGAATCGACTGATTGAAATTTTTTTACATATGGATTAAAATGTACGGCGTGTTATGGAGGAGAAAAGAAAAAAAATAGTATCGAAAACCAAATGGTAACGAGTTTAGTTGAACATAAGCGTAAGCAAGGAAATTTTACTGCATTTCATCCTGTCTGTGATGGACTGTTACTCAAAATTGTATCTTAAAGAGACGCCGTGTAAGTGAGGTGAAAAGGAAAAAATAGTGTCGAAAATCAAATAATAACGAGTTTATGGAAGATTATATTTCATATTATTAATCTCGCCTTGTTGATATTTTAACTTCTATCGCGTGGTCTAAAGCACACAACTTAGTTTTCTTACTGTTTGTATTCTGTCTGTTGTTTGTATTCTGTTCATGTATGTTTGTTTTGTTGAACACCCAAGTTCTGCACCGTATGTCCAAATTGGTTTGACTACATAGATGCTACATTTTAAATATGAAATAGTTTCTCTTTTTTATTCTAAATTTAATTATTTTAGAAACTTTAAGGTTACTCAAACTTACAATAACGAACTGTATCGATTCAGAAACCTCAGGACAGCCTTCACCCTGTGGAGCTAAAGTTTAAAATTAAACAATAAATACATTAACATTTTTTAAATGCTCAGACTAAATGCAAGAATTTTTTATTAAAATATAAAGGCTATATATAATAAAGGTTTCCTGATAAGGTAAGCTCAATTAACTCGCATTTCAATTAACTCTATTAACTAAAGTCTGTCATCGTAACCGAGCAAATAAACGATCTCCAAAACTCTGAATTTTGGTGGAGAAACCTCGTATAGTAGAAAACGGAGTTTCAGAAATCCCAACTATGAAAAACATTCATATGGATTTTCCTAAAAGAAAAAGCTTTCCACTGCAAATATACATGAATATCTTTAAAAAAAATACAAGAATTACCTGTGAATACTGCAAATTAATATAGTGCTGGGTTTTATTAATAACAATCTTTTAATAAACTTTTGCTTTTATTAACTTAGTTTTCCAGAAAGATACGTTAAAATAATTTTATTTTAGTAGATAAATTATTTAAAACATTGATTCTATTTATTAAGAAATTCGTGATTCTATTTAAAAAAGAATCCTTTTTAATAATATATCGTAATTGTTTTGCAAAAAGATATAAGAATTTGGCGTGATAGAATATCAAATCACATAATTTTCTTAAGCAACAACAGTTTAATCTTAATTTATACTGTAATAATCCTCAATTTAATCAGACAACTTATTAAACAAGGCAGTTTTTCTAAAAGTAGAGCATTTGTTTCAACTTCCAGTTTGAAGAATACAAAAAAAAAAAAAATAAATAAATACTAATAACCCATGATTATATAAAATTGAACTTAGTGTAGTTAAAATGATTTTAATAAGGACAAATCCTAATTTGTGTAGAGGAAATTCAGTCTAGTTCTCTAAGAAGCAATTAATAATTAAATAAATAAAAATATTTTTAATTATTGCTTCCTATTTAACGAACAACGCGACATATTTCCAACACCGAACACCTGATTTTCTGTGGAAAATCGGATATCTAACCTTAAGTTAATTATATCTTAAACAATCCAAAAATATATAAATATTTCAAATGAACATAATGCACATATATATGTATTAATATAAAATATATGAAGCTAACCATTATTTTTTAATTATTTATTTTTTTAAGAAGATTATTTTCAATAAACATCAATCAATATCCAAATTATTTTTAATAATGGATTCCTGAATTTAGTTAGAACATGTAAAACTTGCTATTGTATTAAATGCTATGGGCCACTATATATCCAATAAGAGTTTAGGCAGGGTGTCTGAATCGTATAGGGTTTGTGATTATGTTCAATAAAAATAAAAAAATCTTACCAGGTTGTTGATTGACAGCAAGTCTATATGACTCATTGGTATTCCTGTCCAATTTGACTTTCTGGTCATGTACTTTTATCGCCATATATATCGATGTATTTGACGGTCTTGTGGTATTTTCGACGCAATCAGTCACCATATTTTCGCGAAATATTTCAAAAACGGAACTCAAATATGTTTTTACTTCTGGGCTGCCGTCTAAAAGTAGCTCCATGTGGGATATGTCAATTTGAACCAGTTCCTTCCTTGAACAAAAATTTGTTATTTCATTACCTGTCGGCAGTAGAGAATATTAATTTTTTTCTCAATAAATTGCTACACATTATGACAAATGAGGTTTCAAATAGTCACCCGAGATCAGCCATGTTGGGCAAGGGCCAAAGGTTTCCATTCTTACTACATGAAAGTCGGCAACTTTCGACAGAAGGAAATTCTTTTGCATTGACATTGTTTAGGGAATCGAATGAAATTTTAGCCACACACTTTTGTTCCCTGCAGATGAAACTGAAAGGTATTGAAACATATATAATAAATATTTAATTAGTAATTGCATTCATGGAATACCATACTGTATTTCTATCGATCAACAGAATTAGATTCCAATTAATATATTATTATTCACAAACTCTTCTTACGTAATCCTTGATTCTTACCTCTCCTGAGGGGCAACATTGCTTAGAGCCAAAAAATTTTCACGGAGTGTATCCCATGGGTAGGTGCTGGCCGCAGCGGGAGGAACATCCTCCGACCTCCACCTACAAGGAGAAATGATGAAACATACTTTCAAGATTTAAATCTGCCGTTTACTATAGAAATGACGATTGACAAGATCTCTTAGAGGGCGGGGTGGCCGAATGGGATAACGCGTATGCACAGCACCGCGAGTTACCCGGCAACCAGATAACCAAAGTTATATGAGAGATTAAAAACTACGAGTTCACGTCCCGGTGCCGGAGGGGATTTTAAATTCCTAGCCGGGAAAACCCCGTGTATCCTAAAAGGCGAGGTAGGAAAGAAAAGGAAAGAAAAAAATTGACAAGATCTCCAACAAATGGAAAACTATCGTATGGGAATAAGGAAGAGTGGAAATCTCGAAAGGAGACCCCTCAATGAATTACTTCCCATTGCCCCCAGTCACAGGCCTGATCAGAGGGAGAGAGATTGCCAGGGGCCTCCAAAGAGTACTCGATCTCCCATACAACATTTTTTTATTAGTTTTTAAATTTACATTAAAATTTAAAATTTAAATTTACATTAAAATAAAGTAAGAATGAAATAAAACATTTTATAGCAGCCTGCCGTGCCTAAAAGGCTATAAGGGCCTAACTGTGACAGCCCTCGATGACGGATAGCAATTTCCGTCAGTTATGGAGTGGGGAAAACAACCTTAACTTCAAGAACTTCTTGTGTGGGTGGAAAACGATTATAGGTGCAAACCACTTTTCCTTTGGAAGAAGAGGTGTCGCTATATCATGAAGCCCATACTGAAGGGGCAGAAAAAGACGATGCCCAAATATAACGATATACAAACTGCGAAGCTGTGTGCACTGTTCAAGAAAAGCAATTCAAGTGTGCCTAACATCTCGATGTTGTTATTATCCGCATTTCCTTTCAGACGCAGCAGGGTTGTAAATAAAAAAAAATATCTTTACATAAAATGTTTGTTGATTACTTCATAAATGGCTTAGATTAGGTTTTAGAGGTAAAGTTTATATATGATACCCAAGAATATTATCTCATGGATCCTTGGTTTCTGTCCACGGTCCTGCCAAGTCATGTTTGAAAGTGAAAAGAGTCCTTCCGAACTTTTGACCATCTAAATTTCTTACATGGTATGAGTGCTTTGTGAAGTTTTATGGAGTAGGCATTGATCCCATAAGCCGTGAGGTGTACCGAGGACTGCAGGGCATACATTCTGCATCGCACCACCTTTGAGGCTCAAAGAGAGAAATTACTGAGGGATGCCGGATTTACATCCTCACAGAAAACGATTTATGTGAGCTAGTCATTGAACTAAATTACCAATAGTATATTGGTTTTAATTACGAGTGGAAAACTGCCGTGGGGCGTTCAATCGCAGGCGAACCCACATCGGCTTTGAAGTATTGGAGTCTTTATGATGTAAACCCGAGTGTAATATGCCTATCCGTTCCGAAACAAGTATTGTCTAAAAGCAAGAAAGGGTTGAGGACCATTTCTTTGTTTCATTCTTTAGCCAAATCACTACCCTTATAACATTTCAGTGTGCTTGAAGCACAAGAATGATTAATGGATTAGGTAATGTACATATTTATTTGATAAATCATTTAAAAGATGGAAAATAAAATTTAAAGCGAAGGGAAAAGTTAAGAAGTAGTAAAAAAGTGAGTTGAAAAAACAAATTTAAGGTGATAAACTGATGAAGTGAATGATAAAGATATATTATAAAAGTAGCTGGATCAAAATGTTGAATAAAATGAATACACACAAGTTATTGTAGTCAATTAAAATATATTTAAGTGACCTATCACCCGATTAGAATAATAATTTTAATGAAGAAGAATAGTTGGGGTGGTCAGTCAAAAAGGAAGGCAAAAATAAATGATAATATTTAAAAAATATAAAAATGTAAAAAATAAAATGTAAATAAAGTAAAGCAAATGTAAATAAAGTAAAGCAAATGTAAAGTAATGTAAAGTAAATGTAAAAAATAAATATTATCATTTATTTTTGCCTTCCTTTTTGACTGACCACCCCAACTATTCTTCTCTTCATTATCCACGACAGTCAACCAATTACCAATTATGAATAATAATTTTAAATTATAAAAGGAACTAGTTTGTCAAAAATAACCTGCTGAACTTTCGAAACACACGCCAGGACATCATCATCTAAGAAGTTTGTCTCTTGATAAATTTATCATTATTATTTACTTTACTATTTTATCATCCTCCTTTAATTTAACTTTTATCTTTTTTTCATTTCCCATTTACAATATTTTTTAAACTATTTTTCTAATCTTGTTTATTTTTTATATAATTTGATTTATTATAAAGTCTAATGAATGTCTATATCTCCTAACGTTTCTGGAAATATCGACTTCAAATTGATAATTTTTTTATATCTGCGATTAGTTCGAAATGATTAATTATTTATTTAAGGTATCTTTCCTGGTTGTATAAGATCAAAACGAGGACAGCCCCTTTCAAGTATGTAGATAAGACAGAAATATAGCTTCCAATTCATTTAAGTTACTAAATTGGTCCCTAATATTCGAGAATTTCTCCTCATATTCAATGATGATGTTAAATAATTTCTTATAAATGTAATAATCATTTTCTCACAATGTTATTCTATAATATTTCTCCTTATGATAATCAACAGCGTGTTTTATGTATTACAGAACGTTTTTCATATGGGGAAACTAGTATTTCTATAAATAATTGAAATATTTAATCAGCAAATAATATAAAACATTCTATTATTACTTTTTTTTCTTAAGTATAGTTATTATAAAATCATTAGAGATTGTATAAACTTACGTTGTTCTATAATTTTCGTCTGCAGTTATCCCAGGCTTGACAAATAAGATGCATAAAGTCAAGAGCAGCAACATAATTCCTAAAACTGTGGACGGATTATGTTATTTAAAATTATTAAAAATATAACATTGCTCTGGTAATAATTTTTACTGATTGAAAAAAAAAAAAAATTAGATACAATTTTATAATATTTATAGTAATTTTTTTGTGTCTCAAAATCTCATTTCGTTTTAATAACTTCCACAGATCACTAATTAGTTGACTAGTTATCCTTGTTAATACGATCATTAAAATGCTTGAAAATCAGAATATTACTGTATAATTACATTTAATTATTTACTCAACTTTGTTTTTTGTAAAATATATTTGAAATATTTATAATGAAGACATGGGGAGACTCCCGTATTGTGTTTCGGATAACAAAGGTGTTTGAAATTATCAATATAATAATAATAAACCTTTATATTGATACAGACTACTGTGAATTGAAATTATTTTCCTTTGAGTGAACCTCAAAATTTTTACTGTTTTATGTCCTCGATTGTTTTGATCTGATCTTAAATGGATACATATCCCTGTCAATATAGAAGAGTTTCACAGAAAAATAACCTTCCTTTTTTTTGCTTTCTTTTTATTTCTTTTATAATAAAAGAAAAAACAATTCTACTAATAACAAACTGATTGATGTATGGTCAGAGTTTAAAAATAAGTAAAAATCAATAAATGTTATTATCTCCTATCTCTGAACAACCATCGTTATCTGTGAAAGCATTGAACCTTGTTTTTTTTTTTTTGTTTTTTTATGAAACATATGTTGACAGCAGAGCTGGGCAAAAAGTACTTTAATTATTATTTTTAATTTCAGTATTTAAAATATTGAGTATTTTGTGTTTTTCAAATACAGTCTATATCAATTACAAAAAAACAAAAAGTATTTTGCATTTTAATTACGAAAAAAAAAATACGAATGCAAAATATTCACAGGTGGACGATCAGTAAATAATATAGAGAACTTTTATTATATTTGGTAAGTTATTTTGTGTATTTAAAGTACAAAATAAAATACATTTTTCGTATTTTAAAAGAGTTTACTTTCAGAATTATAAGTGTATATACGATACAATGAATTACGTAGGTCACGAAAAAAAGGATATCCAATATAAAAAAATAAGCGATTTTATAAACCTTAGTAAGAAATTAAATTTAGGAACAAAATTTAATATTAATTTAATCGTAGTGCATTAAAATTTCATTCTGAAAGCGGAATTGTAAACCCGAAAAATTTGAGAAGAAATAAATTATACGATTTTTCTCTTTCTACGTATACCTGAAAATTTATAATATAATTTTCAAACAGTGAATTTATAATTATACACTGATATAACTGTTTGAGCTGAATTAATTGTTTAAAAGCAGATTCATTATTAATAAAAGAGGCTAGAAAAAAAAAAAAGAATGACGGCCTTTGTGGTGGTTGAAAGTTATTTGAATAAAACATACCCGAAAAGAACCAAGGCTTTTTTTGCACCTCTTTCATACAATTTTTACTCTTCTTAATTAAAGCTATCTTCATTTATCCACATAATTCGAAAGTGAATGGACTATAAAATACATAATAGGTAGATAATATCAATTTCACAAATAGGTAGATAAAGATCCTGACAAATGCGTGTAAATAAATGCACTACACAACTGAAAAGGATATATGTCTCACCTTATTGCGGGTAGGTAGATTTTCGAAGGAGATAACACCAACTGGCAGAAGTGGGGATGCCGAACCTCAAGTGTTGAGCGAGATGACGTTGGCCACAACCACACTCCAACGTCTATTTTTATTCTTTTTCTATGGTTTTATTTCGCATTACCTCCTGCTGAAGAGAGCCAAAGGGAAACAAAGAAAAGAAACCAAGGTTCCCGGTAAGAGCTCTTCTTCCTGGTTGAAGGCCACGGTCAACAAACTATTACCTTCCACTTGATTACCGACGCTTTTGTATGTTCATGTATGATTGGAAGAATCCAATAACAAACCTCGAATATTAAAAAAATAACTGACCATTCAACGTTTTATCAATTCAGTCATCGCACAAATGCGAAAATGTTCTTCACAGAGCAAAACCACATTATCAGTACAAGTCGCCTATTTCCAATATGAATCCTAATTGATTTTGCTTCCTCAGAATCGAAAATTTCCACTCGTATTTTATTTTTCACACATCAAACATCAAATTCGGATCAGTGTCTGTCTGTAGTCAAATCGATGTGAAGGACGTATCACTTACTATTGTTTATCTCATTTTCAGAGAATGAGGGAGTTGATACTTAGATGGTCTCTTATCAATTTCATTAAATTCTACGTAGTACTTCCGGTTGCGCACGCACAAATGTATTTTCTTAGATATACCAATATTTCAGAAAAAGCTCGATCGATGTGATTCAAATTTGAAAGAAATTTGGGAATTGGTAAAATAGTAATGCTGTATTTTATTAAATTCTGAGCAGTACTTCCGGTTACTATATGTATTTTCTCAGATGTGCAGGTATTTCAGAAACGGCTGTTTCGACTTGGTTTAAAGCTTGAAGTATCGCGAAAATTAGTAAAAGTATTATTATTAGTAGTAGATCTTGAGACATAGGTAAGTGCGCAACCAATGAAAATGGTGAGGAAGATATATTGGCCTCACTTGACAGACTTTGTTTTTTAAACCAAATTAGTATCGAATCCCATGTAAAAACGCTGTAAATTATTTCACAATGGTTTATTATCTCCAAACTATTATACATCTAAAGTAACATTACCTTCCGAGTTACAAAGAAAAAAAACTAAAGGTGATTCCAATTATTTGACTAAACTGTTTTTCTTTAATCATTAGCATTAGTGCAGTAACACATTTAAAATTTAAAAACCAAACCAAGGATATAACATTTGGAGTAGAACACATAAAAAAAAACCAGAGACCATATCTTTGTTCCTAATTGTCCGATTTTAACGACTTTTTTTTATAATAATAATAAACCAAATATGTAATAGTGATATCTCTACTAATAGTGCTTTGATTTTGATGAAACTTCCCTCATTTTTTAGTAAATTTAAATACCTTTGAAACATCTCATCACAATATCAACAAAAAAGTAAAAACTTTTCGAGTTATTCGGAATTTAATTTTACCATCCCTCGTAACTTTTTTTCCAGCTTCTTTTCGTTGAAGTATGTTATATAGATAAATTTAAAGGGCGTCGAGAAAATGACTTTAGAGAAGTTTCATTGAAATCTGTACATTCGTTTAGGAGGTACAGTCTATAGCAACGCAGGTTTTTCAGCCGCCATTTTGAAAGTTAAAGACGGAGAGTAATGTCGATGAAGGAGGATCATCCTCGGATGACCTCTGATTTTATTTCAAAATTTGAAAAAAAATATTCGGAGAAAATGCGGACGGACAAAAAAATTTGTATTCGTTTTTCGAATTCTAAGCGTCTTGAAAGGTGAAACCTCAAATTTTGAGAGGGGGTCATGTTTTTGAATTTTTCGGTCGATCACAATGTTTCATTATTGAAAATAATAAACCAAAACAATCAATAAATCCGATGTTTTTTTTGCTTTTTAAGAAAACCTAAATATTAAAAAAACTTGTGTAAAAATAAATTTATTTCCAAAAAAGGCCTTTTTTTCTCAAGAAATATAATGAAACTTGCATTACTTAAGTATTCTTAACAAATAATCTATAAGTCTTTTTCTACCATTTTATTCAAATGACAATTAAAAAAATTACTTTTACTATACCACAATCGTAAACTAAAAGTTAATTTTTATAGTAAACTAACTTTAATTTTTATAGTAATAGGCGCAAAAGTTTGTTTTATATAGTAACTATTACACGAATTAAACTTTGTTTAAAACAAAATACTTTTTTATTGGTATTAGTCCCTTTAGCAATTAATGTACACCCGATAGTTTCTTTATAATAATTTCTTTTGTGCAACTCGTTCAAATTCCAAAATTTTATTTATATACCTCCTATGTTATATACCTTTTATTTCCAAGGTATAAAACATAGGTAGGAACCGCGGCATCAGAGGTCGCATGTGGCCTATGTGACGACATATTTGCGGTATTCAAGCATTTAGCGCGATATTTATTATTCTAGTGTTAGAATTAATTAATATTTAAGTAACGGTAATTAGGAAATTGAGGAAATTAAGTTGAATGTATGTAGGTGGGTGTGTGTATTTAGTGATAAATAAAAATAGCAAAGGTAAAATATAAAGAATTATTGCGGCCTCTAATGATAAAAATGTTCCCAACCTATGCTATATAATTTTCCAGATTTTGAGCCAAGGAGTTATAGTTTTGAAGTCAAGACTAATATAAAACAAAATCATGTATAAAAATCAATACGCTATAACTTTGCTAATAATGTTTGCATTGGGACGATTTAAAAAAAAAAAAAACAACTAATAACCTAAAAATTCGTTTGTAGTACTGACTGATTTTGGGACTCAGGAGGCTAAGAAGCGTAAAATTCCTTTAAAAACCATTCATAGAAAATTTGACACGATTACAATAATTTCTCCATTAAAGATAGGAAAATAATAAAGCTTGTGTAGGAAACCGAATATGTTGTATCATCGCTTATTCTGGTACGATGATTTTTTAGGGAATTTAATTACTTATCAAAATATTGTCCTCGCGCGGGCTCATTACCGCGTATGGGGAGCGTCCCACGGGTGGCGGATGTGGGGATGGTCGGTGGAAATTCCTTGGAAGTTCCTCCCGACTAAGTCCGATGGACTCGCTGACCAACAATGAGAGGGGCCCTCCAGACTTGCTGGAGGGAGGGGACCTCCAGACTTGCTGGAGGTAGGGGCCCACCAGACTTGCTGGAGGGTGTGACGTAGGATTGAACGCCATACTCACATATCTTTAGTTCACCAAACACCACAAATAGTCATGGATCTCCCTAAGGTAAAACGCTCATTATCCGGAGGTAAACTAGTCCCCCGTTCGGGTCTCCGGGTGGGGACTGCTTTAGGGGATTCATGGCGCAAGTTGAAATATAGGGATTTAAATATTGGTACGTGGAACGTAAGGAGTTTAAACACAACAGGGGGGCTAAAATCGGTCGCGAATGAGGTAAATGGGTACAATTTGGATGTCGTGGCTCTGCAAGAGGTTCGCTGGCCAGGGGAGGGCTCGATGAGGGAAGGAAAGTACACTATTTGGTACGGAGGAAGTGGGAATCATTGTTTGGGTACCGAGTTTCTAATTAGGAGTAGATTACTATCCGCTTTGAAGGACGTACAATTCTTTAGTGATAGAATTTCGGTAGCTATATTTCAGGGACGTTGGTTTAAAATCGCATTAATAAACATACATTGTCCAACCGAAGACAGTGTCGATAAAGTCAAAAGTGAATTTTACGATAAACTCGAATGGGTTTATGATAAACTACCGCGAAACTACATGAAAATAATTGTAGGTGACGCCAACGCAAAGGTAGGAAGGGAAGAAGTTTATATACCGACGATTGGTAAAGAAAGTATGCACGAATATAGTAATGATAATGGGATCCGTCTGATAAACTTTGCCATCTCGAAAAACCTGATAATTAAAAGTACGACGTTTAAACATAAGGATATTCATAAATATACTTGGACATCACCGGATTCGCAAACACGAAATCAAATCGATCATGTCTTGATACAACACAGCTGGCAAAGCAGTATAATTAATGTACGGTCTTATCGCGGAGCAGAATGTGGGTCGGATCATGAATTAGTAATCGCGAAACTTCGACAAAAACTTAATATAAAAAAGAGAAAAGAAAACCGTTTCGATTTTGAGAATTTTAATTTGGAAAAATTAAAAAATCCATCAATTAGAAACCAATTCGAGCTAGATGTTAAGAATAGGTTTGAAGCTTTAGAGCTTCCTGACGAGGACCACGAGGATATTGACAAGTTATGGGTAGAGATCAGGGATAATATTAAAGCGATCGGTAACTCGTGTCTAGGAAAAAAGGAAAATAAGATTAACAAACCGTGGTTTGATGAAGATTGCTTAAACATGTGCGAAAAAAGAAAAGCCGCTAAATTAAAAGCTCTAAATAATCCTAGCGAAGATAATCTGGAATACTTCCGAACCTCAAAGAACGAAACGACAAAATTGCTCAAAAATAAAAAAAGGGAGTATCTTAAAAATAAAATAATTGAAATATAAACTAATAGAATTGAAAATAACATAAGAGACATGTACAAAGGTATTAACAGATCACGTAAATATGTAGGGCCCGTAACGTCTGGAATCAGGGATAATAATAACAATATTCTGACCTATCCGGTTGACATATTGAATAAGTTTAAGGACCACTTTGACAATATTTTAAATACGGGAAATTATGATCTGTGTCCTCCTTCTGAGTACCAGAGTGCTGAACCGTTAATAGAAGGACCAAGTAAAGAGGAAGTTGAAGTAGCTATCGGAAAATTAAAATCATATAAAGCAGCGGGAACCGATAATATTCCTACTGAACTAATTAAGGCATGCGGGAAAGCTGGAGTTTCTAAAATACATCGGTTGGTTAAACAGATCTGGGTGAACGAGAAATTACCTGAAGAATGGAAAGAATCTATTCTTATTCCGATTCACAAAAAGGGTCCGAGGACGGATTGTAATAACTATCGAGGAATTTCACTCCTTCCGGTATGTTATAAAATATTCACTTTAATCTTAACCAGTCGAATCACGGAATACGCCGAGGAAATTATCGGAGACTACCAATGCGGATTTAGACGGAATCGCTCGACTATTGATCAAATATTTTCTTTACGGCAAATATTAGAGAAAAAATTGGAGTATAACGGTATTGTTCACCAGCTGTATATAGGTTTTAAAAAGGCTTACGATTCTAATGACCGCCAAAAACTGTATAATATTCTAATCGAGCAGGGAATTCCAAAAAAAAAACTAGTAAATCTAGTCAGGATGTGCTTGACGGAGACACTCGAAATTTTAAGGTTCGTTCGGGTTTAAAACAGGGGGATTCTCTTTCGCCTGTCCTGTTCAATTTGGCATTAGAACATGCCATTAGGGGGATAATGCGAACCGAGAGAGGGTTGGATTTGGGCGGTACAACATCCGTGCTGGGCTATGCTGATGATCTGGTACTGTTAAGCGAAGACATTGAAACTATAAAACTAAATACGACAACGTTAATGAAAGCCGGTAAAGAACTAGGACTCGAAATAAACGTGGATAAAACAAAATATATGGTTAGCTGCAAAAATGGCGATACTACTGGTGATATCGATATAGATGGTAATATGTTTGAACAGGTAGATAAATTTAGGTATTTAGGTTCTACGATAACTAGAGAAAACGAAATTGAAGAAGAGATTAAGGTTAGACTGAAGGCGGGAAATGCTTGTTATTTTTCTGTGACAAAACTACTTAGTTCGCGCCTCTTGTCCCGGAACTTAAAAACTAGAATCTATAAAACAATTATCTTGCCTACAGTTCTTTATGGATGCGAAACTTGGCCGCTTACATTAAGGGATGAGCAGCGT